GGGGGGGGGGGGCTATTCCACAAGGCCCTTGGACCAACCCGCATCGGCGCATCCATCCCGCTCCGGAGTTCGGCCCGGGGGGGAAGGAGGCGCCGGCGGCACGCCCGCCGCCGGGGACGGGACACCCGGAAGGGGGAAACTCCGGGGGCCTGGGGGCGGGTGCGGGGTGTGTGTGTGTGTGTGTGTCGGCGGGCCGGACGCGCCCGGCGACCCCGGCCCCCCCCCCCCCCCCCCCCCCGGCCGGCGCCCGGAACAGGTACTGAGTGCCAACGCATCCGTCGGCCGGGATCGGCCGCGGCTGCCGCCGGTCCAGGGGGTGCGGGGGATCGCGGTTTTTTTTTGCCCCTGCGCGGCGGCAGCAGCGGCGCGCGCCCGGGCGGCCAGATCTCTCCCCCCCCCCGCTCCCCCGCCCCCGCCCCCGATCACTTTCGTTGTTGTCTGCTCTCCTTTTGCCGCCTCGCCTTCTTGATCATGTCACTGCCAAGTGCCGCGCCTCGGCCGGAGGCTGCCTCTCCCGAATTGCAGAGGTGCGCCTTCCTCCGCCGCCGCCCGCCGCCCGCCGCTGCCGGGCGGAGACACATGCATAAGCGGATTTGCTGACCTCGCGTGCCTGTGGGATGTGCTCTGTTTGCGGCCCGGGCGCGCACGCGGCCAGGGAGTTTGAGCAGCTCGCGCACGCAGAGCCCACCCTCCTGGATGACATCCGTGCGCACCCGGTGTCGATTGAGGCGACCGCCAGCGACTTGGCCCTGGTCCGGGTGCGTGGCCGCTGGCCGGTATTTTTCTTGCCGCCTGGCCCTGCGCTGGCATGGCGGCCGGCGCGTGAAGGGGGCGGGCGAGCCGGTGTGCATGTCAGGCGGGCAGCATCTTTTCGAGGGGTTCCCCTCCCCCCCTTTCCCGGCGGCGCGTGTGTATACTCACCTCGTCTGGTCGTCGGTCTGCCCCGTGCCCGCGCGCAGGACTTGATGAAGCGCAGCAAGTTTGAGTTTGTCGAAGTCGGCGCCAAGCGCTACTTCCTGGAGTACCTGTCGGAGGGCATGACGGCCGACATCAATGTGGACATCCTGAGTGCGTTGCCGCCCCTGTCGGCCTCTGTGTGTTGTGTGTGTGTGCGCGCGTGTGCGTGCTGCTGCTGACATGCTGGCCCCTGTGTGGTCCCCAGAGCTGGATGTGGAGAATGACAAAATGGCCGTCCGGCAGCTGAAGCAGGAGCGTTTGCAGGCTGCCTCGGACCTGGGGCTCCTGTTCAATGAGCTTTTGGCTGGTGCGTGCATGCGTGTGTGTGTGTGTGTGTGTGTGCGCCGCTTCCGGGGATGTGTAGGCCTGACCCGATGTCCCGCGCAACTCCCTCCGATGCCTCCTCCCGCCCCCTGTTTCCCGGGGGCCGCGGGTGCAGCCCGCTCGGAGCTCAGTACCGAGCTGGAGGACCTGGCCGCCGATCTGGCCCGGCTCCAGAGTCTGGTGCGTTTCCCCCCCCCCCCCCCCCCCCCCCCCCCCCCCCCCCCCCCCCCCCCCCCCCCCCCCCCCCCCCCCCCCCCCCCCCTTCCCCCTCCCTCCTTCGCGAAGTCTCTCCTGCTCTGGTGGCCTGACCCTTAAACTGGTCGACAAAAAGCACACGCTCTATCGGCGGAGGAAGATCCAAAAGATTTATGATGCCCGTGTGGACATCGAAAAGCGCTCGGTGGAGTGCATTCGTGCGGGGAACAGCGGGCGACGGGCTCTCCCCGCCTCGGGCCTCAGGGTGCGAACTCCGACGAGGGCGGCCCTCCCGGATCGGCAAGATACATCTCCCCTGTGGGAGAGCCTCTTCCTCCTCTTCAGACGTGTCCCCCCCCCCCCCCCCCCTGTTGACGGCGCGCGCACTCACATGCGTTCATCCGCGGGGTTGCCTGTGTTCCACGCAATGCGGGCGGGCGGCTTGTCATGGCCCCTCTCATGCAGGAGGAGGAGGCCGCCCGGCTGGAGGGCCTCCAGGCGGAGTAAGCCACATACCGGGCGGGGCCGGCGCCCCTGCCCCGCGCCCGGGCCTCCGAGAGGGACCGGGGAAAAGAAAAGAAAAAGAGCAAGAAGAAGGCGCGCCCCCGCCGGCGGCGGCCCCCCCCCCCCGCCCCTTCCTTGATAAAAATAGAATGTATGCATCCCGTCCGCTGCGTGTGGCGTCTCTCTCTCCCTCTCTCGGTGGTGGCACTTGCGTCGGGTCGCCCGCCGCGGCCGGGTCTCTCGCGCGCCGGAACACGGGCCGGCTTTGGTGGGTCTCTGGAAAAGGAAGGTCGCGGGGAAAAAATGATTCTCCCATTGCTGGGAGAATGTGGTGCGAATGGGATTCGAACCCATGAGATCTTCATCAGTGGAACTTGAGACCACCGCCTTAACCACTCGGCCATCGCACCCGCTCGAAGAAGGCCAGTGAAACAACTCCATTTAACCCAATGCACATGCCGCCAGGTCGGCCCGTCTGCCCACGGTGCCCCGGTTCCGGCCCCCCGCCGGGCTCCCTGGGGGGGGGGGCGCGCGCGGGGGTGTGCGTGCGCGCGCGCGCGGTGGACTGTAGGGACCCGCGAAGAGCTGCCTGGCGCCGACGTCATGCGCCTGCGGCCGGGGGGGGGGTGCTGGGGCATGATGCGGCCAGCCGGCCGGGGCCTGGGGGGGCTTTGCGCATGGCCGGGCATATTAGCCCACAACCACGGGCCACACCCCGCCCCTTTAACCCAATCCGGTGCGTGTGTCTGGGGGGGGGGGGGGGATCGCCTCGCCATGGGTGTGTGTTGAAATGCATGCCAGCTAAGTGTTAGCCCAGCCGCGGGGCGGGGGGCCTTTTCCGCGCGTGTGTGTCGCCCCGGCGCCCGGGCCGAGCCCGCCGATGTGCGGCTCCCCCGCCCTCTTTTATCCGCCTGGCATCCCTGCGCGAGGGCGCGCTTTTGGTGGCCGGGGGCCATCTCTTGGCCGGGGCCGTGGGATCCCCGGCGCCGTGCGGGGGCGAGGCCTGCCTGCCGTTCCCCCCCCCCCCCCCCCCCCGATCCCAAACTACACCAGCCATATCTCGTCCGCCGGCGGCGGATGTGGGTGAGGGCCGGGCCAGGCGCAGGGGGCGCGGCTGGCGGCCGGGCGCGAGTTCGCCCGTGCCAGGTGGAGGGGCGGGGGGAGGTGCGCGCCCGATGGCGACCGCCGTGGCCGGCCGAGGGCAGGGCCGGGGGGGGGGATTGAAGGCACCCTGGCCGAGCGCACGCAGGGGCATGCGCCCCGCCATGCACACCCATCCTTCCTCCCTTCTCGCCCTTTCAAGCACTGCTACTTTCGATCTTTCACCCTTTCTGCTTTTTTTTTGCAACACACTCTGTCAAGGTAGGCGCCAGGGGCGGGTTTCCTTTCTTTTTTCCTTTCCCCCTTTTGCCGCTCCCTCCTGTTGCCGCGCGCCGGGCCCGGAGGCCCCCCCCTCCTCCCGGCCCTTGGCCGGGGATCGGTCGCCGAGGCCGGCCGCGGCCATTGTGCATCCCCCTGCTGACACCGTTGCCCACTTGCGCCCGGGGGCCGTGCCACCCCGCCGGTTATGGCGGATCCCGCCGGCGGCCCGTCGACCACCGGGGCCGGCAGCCATGTCACCGAACAGTGGCTGGCGTGCCCAAATGGGCGCGGCGGCGGCCGGCGCCACGCCGGCCGGCAAGGGCGCCACGCCGGAGCAGGCGCGCGCCGGCGTGACCCCGCACGCACACAGCATCCCGCCGCCGGCCCGGGCGCCGACCCTCTTCGAGCGGCGGATGGCCAACTCCAACGGCACGTCCAAGGGGCCGGAGGCGCAGGCCCATGCGCCGGGCGGGCCGGCGCACCCGCCGTACCGGGGCCCGCGGCATGAGGCCCCGGCCGAGGGGCCGCACCTGCTGGCCGGCGAGTCGGCCGCCAGCGGGCACTGGCGCCACCCGCAGGAGCTGCCGGAGCGGCGGATCCTGCGGCTGCTGGGGCTGACCGGGCGGCCGGCGTCGCCGGGGCCCGGCAGCCCGGACGGGTCGCTGGGGGCCGGGCGCATCGAGGCCCGGGCCCTGGTCCGGCACCTGGAGGCCTACATGGACCGGGTGCGGCTGGGCCTGGCGCCGGAGTCGCCGGAGTCGCCCGGGAGCCCGGGCAGCCCGGGCAGCCCGACCGGCGTGACGCTGCCCGGGACGGCGGCCTGGTCGCCGCGGGCGGCCGGCGGGCCGGCCACCGGGGCGGCCCTGACGCCGGACCGCGACGCGGCCCTGGTGGCGGCGCGGTTCTTCTCCCGGGTGAATATGAGCGCGCGGGAGCTGGAGGCGCATGCGGCGTCGTTGCAGGCGGCCGGGGCGGCCGAGGAGGCGGCCGAGGCGCGGGCCGTGGCCGAGGTGGTGCGGAGCGCCCACCGCCGGGGGATGTGCGTGGCGCAGATGGCCCGGCGGAGCTCGGCCGAGCAGCTGGAAACCGTGCTGGCGCCGGTGTCGTATTGGCGGGCGGCGCGGGACGCGCACTTTGCCCTGACGGCCGGGCGGCTGTCGCGGGTGGACGCCCCCGGGGCCATGGGGGCCGCGTGGTGGTGGTCGGCCGGGTGCTGCACCGAGCCGCCGGCCATCGACGGGTGGCATGGCGGCGGCGGCGGCGGCGGCGGCGGCGGCGGCGGCGGCGGCAGCCCCTCGCGCCAGGGCCGGGCCCACCTGGCCGAGGAGGATCTCCTGGCCCGGGCCCTGAGCAGCTGGACCCCGGCCGAGCTGGGGACCATGCGCCGGGCGCTGGCCCGGTTCGATGCCCTGGTGCTGGAGGAGGCGCGGCAGGGGGACGGGGTGCCGAGCTCGCCGCGGCCGGACTACCGGTCGCTCGGGTCGCCGAAGGCGCAGCGGCAATTTGCCTCGGCGGCCGGGTGCTCGCCCTCGTCGCTGAGCCTGGCCGAGGGCGGCCTGGCGGCCGGGGTCCGGAGCGTGGCGGCCCCGGAGGCCGAGGGGGCCGACCCGGATGCGGTGCGGGTGCGCCCGGCCGGGCCGGATGTGTCGGCGGCCGTGGCCGATGCGGCCGGGTGGCAGCGTGCCGCCCGGAGCTGGGGCATCTGCGCCAACCGGGCCGCCGCCACGGCCATGTACTATTTGGACGCGCGGGCCGGGATGCTGCACACCCTGGCGGATGTGGTGGTGGCGGCGCACCGGCGGTGCGGGCCCGGCGGCCGGGCCGACGGGCTGCCGGGGTCGCCGCTGGCGGCCGGCCTGTCGCCGGAGCAGGCCGAGGCCCTGGAGCAGCTGGGCGCCGGGGACTTCCACTTTGGCCTGGCCGGGGCCAAGGAGGCCGCGGCGCAGCTGGTGGCCGAGCGGCCGGGCGACTGGCTGGCGCACGCGGCGGCGGCGCGGGCGCTGGCCCGGCTGGTGGGCCGCCTGCCGCGGGACCCGGTGCGGCCGGCGCACGGCCTGGGCCCGATCGACGTGGCCACGGCCCTCTGCCTGGGGGACTTCCATGCGCAGCTGTTGCCGATCATCCGCCGGCGGGTGTACGAGCATCTGGGCGGGGGCCGGTGGCCGGCGGCCGGGCCGGCCCAGCCGGGGACCACCCCGACGGCCGGGGTCCGGGTGGCGTCGCCGCGCGGGCCGGAGTGGCCGTGCGATGATTTGCTGCCGGCCGGGCATCCGTTGCATGGGGGCCCGCGGCCGGTGGCCATGACCGAGCGGCCGGACTACCGGTCGCTGGACCAGGCCCGGAGCCTGAATGCCATCTGGACCCAGCTGCTGGCCCTGTGGGGGGGGGACCTGCCGCGGCTGGCGGGCCGGGCCCCGCCGGGGATCTGGCGCGCGCGGGTGAACTCCACCCCGGAGGCCATCGAGGCGGCGCTGCTGGAGCTGGCCGAGGGGGACCGCCTGGAGGAGGGCGGCTCCGGCGGCGGCGACCCCCGGGCCCTGAGCCATGTGGCCCAGTTGAAGGCCCTGTGCGGGCGGCTGACGCGCGGGGCCACCAGCCGGGCCCAGCGCCAGGGGCTGGAGGACCTGGTCCGGGCCCTGCGCACGCCGTATGCCGAGCTGGCGCCGGAGTCGGTGGCGGCCCTGCGCCTGGCCCACTGCCTGGCCCATCGGATGGCGCCGAAGTTCGCCAAGTTCGAGCGGGCGCGCGGGGCCGCCGCCGGCACGCCGGTCACCGCCTGGTGCGGCTTCTTCGCCCTGCTGGGCGTGGATGTGCATGCCATGCTGGCGGAGGTGGCCGCGGCCACCGGGCGCCCGACCGCCGCGGACATGGCCCGCTTCCTGGACAGCGAGTCGGGCCGCGCGGCCGTCCGTGCGGCCGACGCCGTGTCCGGCAAGGAGGTGCGTCTTGGCCGGGGGCGCGGGGGGGCCTGCCCCCGAAGCCGGGCATGCGCTTGGGGGGAGCTTGTGCCGGTGCCTGTGCTAACCCGCGCGTGTGTGTGCGTGTGTGTGTGTGTGTGTGTGTGTGTGTGCGTGGCGACGGCGGTGTGACCGGACGACGGCCCGGGCCAATAAGCAGAAAACCATGAAGCGCGCTCGGCGCCTGGTGGCGGTCCTGGAGCAGCGCTGGGCCGCGGTCAATGCCCAGGACATTGACCTGCTGTGCCGGGTGCGCGGGCGCCTGCGGTACACCGCGTCGCTGGATCGGTGCCCGCGGCGGGCGGCCGAGGCGGCCTTCTGGAGGGCGATGCTCGGCACGCCGGCCTCCTTCCGGGCCGGGGCCCTGGCCCCCGGGTCGCTGAGTGGCTTCCACCGGCTGGACGAGGCGACGGTGGAGGTGCGCGGCGCGGCGGGCAGCCGCGTGCGTGTGGAGATCCCCTCGTCGCCCCGGAGCGGCGGCGGCGGCGGCGGCGGCGGCGGCGGCGATGGCGGCGCCTGGCACTCGTCCTCGCCGACCATGCGCCAGTCGCCGGTCAGCATGAAGCCCTTCGCGGCCGGGCACACGGCGGCGGCAGGCCCGGCGGCCCCGGCGGCCGGCTTCGGGTCGTCGCCCTCCGGCGGGGCGGCGCGGACCACGCCGGGGCTGGGGTTCGACCCGCGCCCGGTCCGGGCCACCGGCGCCGGCAAGGGGCCCATCACGACCGATGGCCGGTCGCCGGTGACGAGCCCGCGCGCGTCGCCGGTGCCGCTGAGCCCGCGGTCGGTGGCCTCGGGCCCGGGCCTGTCGCCCGGGTCGCCGACCAGCGTCAACACCGGGAACTTCAAGCGCCGGCGCCTGTCGGTGGCCGGCGAGCTGGCCGATGTGTCGGACAATGCGGCGGCCGCCGGGCTGGACCTGCAGCACCACCACCACCACCACCACCCGCACCGGGGGCCGGATGCCGGCGAGACCCTGTCGTCGTCGCCGCCGCCGCCGGTGAATGTGACCGCGGTCACGACGGCGGCCGCCCCCCTGGCCATGATGAGCCCGGGGGCCGGGTTCACCGGCACGGTGACCACTTTCCAGGTGTCGCCGCCGGTGTCGCCGCGGCAGCCGGCGGCGGCGGCGGCGGCGACGACGGCCCGGCCATCCGGCTTCGAGGCCGATGTGTCGTCCTCCCTGTCGACGGCCAGTGACCAGGGCGGCGCGGTGCCGGGGGCGCCGGCGGCCGGGCGCTTCGGCGCCCGAGCCAATGCCCAGCAGCGGCAGCCGCAACAACACCACGGTCACTCGCCCGCGGCCGGGGTGGTGGCCGATGTGCCGAGCACCACGCCGGGCGCCTCGTCGGCCACCGACGGGGCCTGGGGCGTGTCATCCCCCTCGACGCCACCCTCCTCGGACCTGATCGAGGAGATGTCCGAGGGGGTGGTGTTGCACCAGCACCGGCGCGAGGGCGGCAAGTCGGTCCCGGTGGCGGGTGAGCCGGCCGCGAGCAAGGCCCCGCCGGCCGCGAGCAAGGCCAAGACAGCCGCGAGCAAGGCCAAGACAGCCGCGAGCAAGGCCCCGCCGGCCGCGAGCAAGGCCAAGACGGCCGCGAGCAAGGCCAAGGCGGCGGCCGAGTTGCCCGCCTCGCCGGCCGCCTCGCCGGTCACCCGCGCGGCCAAGGCCACCACCAAGAAGCGCGCCACGCCGGCGGCGCCGGCCGCCGAGGAGGGCAAGAAGACGCGGACGAGCACGCGGGCGGCCGCCGCGGCCGCGGCGGCCGCCACCAAGCCCGCCGAGTCCCCGCGGCGCAGCACGCGTCGTGCCCCGGCGGCAGCCAGCAAGAAGAAGTGATCTGAGAGTGTGTATGTATGTGTGTGTGTGTTGTGAGCACATGCGCGCCTCCCCGGAGAGGGGAGAGGCGCGCAACCAGGCGCAGGCTTGTGATGAGGGGTGATGATCCCCGCATCTCGGGGGCCTGCCCGGGCCCCGCCGCTGCCAGGCGCACGCGCGTGCGTCCGGCCCCGGCGGCAGGCCCCAACAGCAGCAATAAAAAATGGTGAGCTCGTCCTGGCGTCTGAGCACCAAGGGGGGGGGGGGGGGGTGGTCGCGCAAAGGGCCGCGGGGCGCGAGGCCGGGGAGCGCCGTCCGCCCTCCCCGTTGGCTGGGGGGGCGTGTGTCCCCGCCGGCCGGGAGGGCTGGGGCAAAGTGCCGTGCGTGGGGACTTGGCATGGGGTGCCGGCGCGCGCCCGCGTCGGCCCAAGCATGCGGGCTTGGGGGCAGGCGACGCGATCTGCCCCGGGGCCGGTGTCGCCGCACCGGGCGCCGGGCCTCGTAGAAGCGGCGCCAGTATGCCCGCCGGCCGCGCGCGTCCCCTCCCCCATGTCTCCCCTGCATCTTGTTGCCCCCGCGCGCGCGTTCCATTCGCCCCGCCCCCCCCCCTTGTCTCCGGCTCCCTCTTGGCCGCGGGCTCGTGTTTGCTTTTTTCTTTTCCCCCCTGCGCCCGCTTGCATTTGCCCCCCCCCCCTCCCCCCCCCTTCGGGATGAGTAGCCTCCCGACTAAGCGCGGTGCGCCCGACCTGCCTCCCTCGACCAAACCACCGTGGCCTTGACTCGGGCTGTTGACTTTCGTTCCCCCCCCCCCCCGCCGGCCGGCCCAGCGGCCGAGGATGCCGACGACGCACCGGACGCCAAGCGCCCGGCCCGGGAGCCGGTCGCGCCCGAGCACGACACGGATGCCCTGGTGGCCCGGCGCATTGTGGCCCATCCGGATGTGTCGGTGAAGCGCCTGCCGCGCGGGCTGTTCAGCGCCAACATCTCCGACCAGGCCTTCTATGACGCGCGGTTCGATGACGACAGCGTGCGCGCGCGGGGGCTCTTCCTGCGCGGGCCCGCCGGGCATGCGGACCCAGACCCGGCCGCCGGTGACGATGGCGACGATGGCGACGACGACGACGACGACGACGACGAGGGGGTCCCGGGGCCCGGGCAGGGCGGCAAGGACCGCGCCCGGCACCAGGCCCAACAGCGGCGGCTGAAGGCCGCCCTGGCCGGGGGGCCGGCCGGCGACGGCGCCCCGGTGGCGGCCGGGCCGCTTGTGGTGGCCGGGCGCGGGTACGCCAAGTTCTTCTATGAGAATGAGGCGCGGGTGCCGTTCATGCGCACGGCCGCGCTGGAGGCCCGGCTGCGCTTCCCCTGCCGCGTGTTCGAGAAGGCCAACGGCTTCCTGGGGGTGTCCTTCGCGGTGAGCCGGCCGGTGGATGCGGCCGGGCTGGCATCGGTCGCCGAGCTGGAAGCCGCGGATCGGGCCCTGGCCCGGGCGGCCGGCCAGGCGCCGCTGGTGGCCGACGGGGCGGATGCCCAGCCGCCGGAGGAGCCCTTCTTCCTGGAGACCACCAGCAAGTCCACCACGGTGGGGCCGTTTGCCGAGCGCTTTCGCGAATTGCTGCACCGCGCGCTGCTACGCGCCGGCCGGAGCCTGGTCCGTTGTCTCTCCGGCTGTTTGTGTCTCGCCTTTTGCTTGCCGGTCCGGTGGCCTCCGGCGGTGTTGCCCTCTTGGATTGGGGCGCTGACGGTCCCTCCGTTTGGTTGTCGCCCGGCTGGGGTCCTGGCGCTTGTGTGTCCCGTTGCGGCCGGTTGCCGGCGCGGGTGGCTCGGTGGTGCTGGGGCCGGCTCGGTCGCGGCCGGGGGGGCTGCCTTCCGCCGTGGGGGGCCATGGACCGCCGGGGCCGCGCGCGCGCACGCACACACACACACACACACAAGCAGGCCGAGTATACGCGACAGCTGGCGGCGCTCGGCTGCTCGGCGGTCTTCGAGGTGGTCGACCCCCAGCGGGACCCGCACATCATCGACTATGAGACGGACGCCTATGCGGCGGCCGGGCTGTCCGAGGGCCATGTGGTGCTGCTGGACCTGATCGGGAATTCGCTGGGCGAGTGGGCCGGGCTGCGGCCGGGGTTCGACGCGACGCGGCGCTTCGGCGAGACCTTCGGCCTGCGGGTGAAGGCCCCGCTTGCGACGTTGCACACCTGGCCGGAGTATGTGGCCTTCTCCCGGCGGGCGGCCGAGGACTATGGCCTGCGGGTGGCCCTGGCCCCGGGGGCCGGGCTGCGGCCGGGGTGTCTGGATCCCGGCTCGGATGCGGCCGCGGCCCGGGGCCTGGAGGCCCCGATCGAGGGGTTCGTCCTGGAGGACGCGGCCGGCTTCATGGTCAAGGTCAAGTCCCGGTACTATGTGGCGTGGAAGCGCGCGCGGGACCTGCTGCAGGCGGGGTGCGGCGATGGGGGCGGCGTGGCGCGCGGCCAGGCCGCCCTGCGCCGGGCCCCGCCGCTGATCCAGGTGCGTGCCGGTTCCTCCTCGCCCGGTGGGGCGGTTGTGGCGGCTTTGGGTGTGGTCTTCTTCTTCTGCTTCCTTTCCCTTTTGGTGGCCGGCTTTCCCTGTCTGCCTCCCCCCCGCCCCCTCCCCTGGTCTCGGCCGCCCTCGGGGTCGGTGGTCCTGGCCGCAGTCCTTCATCCGGTGGTACCGGGCCAGTGCCGGCGGGGCGCTGGGCGAGGAGGCCCGGCGGCCGGAGAACGTGGCGCTGGCGGGGGCTCGGCTGGCGCGCGGCTTTGCCGAGGGCGAGGGGCCGCCCCTGCCCCGGCGAGTGCTCTCGCTGGTGCAGCTCCGGCGACTCTTCTACCAGGCGACTGGGGTACGTGTGTGTGGCTGGCCTTCGATTGTCCACTGCCGGCTCGGGCATTGACTTGTTGTTCCTTTTTTCCGTCGCGCGCGGGTGTGCGGCCAGCTGAGCGACGAATCGCCGCTGGAAGCTGAGGCGGCCCATGGCCAGGCCTCGCGTCCCGTGCGGCTGGTGCTGTGCACGGCCCCGTCGGTCCCCTTTGCCACGGCATACGCCGAGCGCGGGGTCGAGCAGCTAGCCGCCGAGGGGTATGTTCATCGGGTGTTGCTTTCTGTGTGGCAGTCTTTTCTGCCGCATCCAAAGCTGTGTGTGGCTGTGTGGCTGTGTGGCTGTGTGGCTGTGTGGCTGTGTGGCTGTGTGGCTGTGTGGCTGTGTCGATGTGTGTGTGTGTCGCTGTGTGGCTGTGTGGCTGTATATGTGTATGTATGTATCTACATATCTATGTATGTACCTACATATATATGTATTTACCTACGTGTACATGTGTCTACGGACGTGCCGGGTGACGGAGCCGAGGGGGGGCACTGACACATTCTCGTGCCCCCACTGACCCGCTTTGCCCTTTGGACCCCTCCGGTAGGACGCCGGCGCGGTCCGGGCTCTATGTTTCGGCCCGTGTGGCGGATCTGGTGCGCGACCTGGTGGCCCTGTCGCAAGCGGCCGGGCCCGGCCCCGAGCCGGGTCCGGCCGTGCTGCTGGCCGTGGTCCGGCCCTTCGATGTGGCCACGGTGGTCGGGAAGCTGCTTCTGTCACTCGGGCAGGCGCCCCTGCGTCCGGCCTCGAATGAGTCGCTCTTCCTGCTGCACGACCTGAGTGTCCTGTGCCTGGAGGTGGCCGACGCACAGGTATGTAGCCTTGATGTGCGGGTCTTTCCCGCGCGCTCTCCCTCTCTCTTTTTTTTTGGCCCGGGGCTTCTTCCTCTTTGGCACGGCATGCGTGCATGTGGACTCATGCCTGTGTGTATGCGCGCGCGCGCACGTGAAGGCCCTCCACCAGGCGTGGCCGGCGGATGTCGCGGCCAGGGCGCCTCCAGGGCGCATGGCCACCTTCTTCCCGGACTACAGGGCCATGCTCGAGCGGGGCCTGGATCGTCTGGGCGGCGCGGCCGCCGCGGCGGCCGGGGCCATTCCCCCTTCGTGCCTCCCCCGGCAGAGGATAGCCTGGCTGACGTGCCCGGAGGCGGTTGGCCCGGGGGAGGCCGATGTCGAGGTGGCCCGGCAGGCCGTCCGGCACCTGTGCAGCACGGCCGGCCCGACGCAGGTATCCACCCACTTCGAGGACTTCGTGCACGCGGTCGCGGGTGACCCGCTTGCCCTGTGCGTTTGGCCGCATGTGCCAGGGAGCACGGTGTTTTTTTGTTTGCCCTTCTTCCCCCGCGTGCGGCCAGGGCGTGCCCATTCTCACCGACCACCGGGCGTCCCCCTTGTGAGCCAGGCTCCAGCATATGTCGTACTTGAGTGGGAATGGTCTGCTGTCCGGGGCCCAGGCGGCGGCGCTGGCCCGGGCGGCCGAGGACCGGAGCTCGCGGCGCGCCGCGGCCGGGCGCCCCCTGTGTATTGTGATGTTCTGTGGCATCCCCGGGGTGCGTGTGCCCTTGGCGGGTCTCGCCCTTCCCCTCATCTTGGCGGTGGCCAGAGCAGCAGCGGCGATGACGACAACAGCGACTAACCTCCCCTTCTTTCCTCGGTCTGCTTCTCTTCCTCGGGTTTCTCCTGTTCCCTTCTCCGCCCCCCCCCCCCTCCCCTCCACTTCTTCTCCCACACCGGGGCTGGCAGATTGGAAAGTCCACGCTGGCTCGGTGCCTGGAGGCAGCATTGCCGGAGGCGGTGGACCGGCCGGACTTCCGGGTGGTGCGCCTGAGCCAGGACCTGCATGCCGGGGACAAGCGGGCCTTTTTCCGGGCCCTGCGCGAGCATGCCGAGGGCGGGACCGATGTGGGTGCGTTGCCTTTTGACGTTGCCCGCTGCTGGTGGGCCCACCGTGTGTGTGTGTGTGTGTGTGTGTGTGCGCGCGCGCATGTCGCTGACGGCCCTTGTCTCGGTGCCCGGGGATTGGGCTGCGCGGGCGGCGCCTGGCCCGCCGGCGGGGGGCTGGCAGTCATCGTGGATCGCAATAACCAGACGCCCTTCCACCGGCTGGAGCCGGTGCTGCACATGACTGCCGGGCTGGGCCGGCCGTGGCGGGCGGTCCTTGTCCGGCCCGGGCCCGCGCTGCTGCTGCTGCCGCCGGGGTCGGAGGACTCGGAGCCGGGGCCGGCCGCGCCGCTGCTGGCGCTGGCCCTGGCGCGCATTGGCCCGCGGGTGGACCCGGAAAACCGCAGCCTCGACTCGCTGGACGGCCGGCAGCGGGAGGACATCGTCCGGCGGTTTTTCGAGGAGTTCGTGCAGCCGGCCGGGCCGGGGCTCGACCACCGGGGCCCTGACGGGGGCCGGCGGCCGGCGGGGGTCCTCCTGCGGGAGGTCCGCCAGGCCAATGCGGATGCCCTGCTCTTTGACCATGTGCTGGATGTGGACTATGGGGCTGGGTCCGGGGGCGCGGCGCTGGAGCGCACCCTGGGCCGGCTGCTGGCCGACCTGGCCCGGTGTGTCGGGCCGGATGTGGGCCTGCGGCCGGGGGCGGCGCCGGATGGCGGGCTCCTCCGCCGGGCGGTGGGGCCGGTGCTGCCGGCGGCTGGCCCGGCCCGGGGGCCCGACCCTGGGGCCGGGGCCTTCCCGGCCGTGGCCCGGTACATGCAGCGGTACTACCGGGAGCAGGGCCCGGGGCGACTGGCGCGGGCGGACCTGCCGGTCTTCGTGCAGATCCTGCCCGACCACCGAGCCATGGGGCTGCTGTCGGGGCTCTTTGCCCGGCACCGGGGCGCGCTGGACCCGGCCGGGCGCCTGGCCGTGGACAAGACCGACCTGCATGTGACGCTGGCCTTTCTCAAGGGCCGGGTGCCGGAGGCCGGCAGCCGTGCCTTCCGCGTGCTCCAAGCCCTGGAGGAGTGGTGCGCGGCGGGGCCCGGGGCGCCGGCCGACCGGGGCCAGGCCTGGCAGCCGGTCCGGGTGGACTTCACGGTGGTCGGGCTGCTGACCGACCGGCGGACATGCTGCTTTGTGGTGCGGCTGCCGGAGCCGCTGCAGCGGTGCTGGCGGCACTCGGGCCCGGGCCCGGAGCCGTCATCCCGGGCGCCGCACATCACCATGGCCCTGGCGGCCGGGGTGGACCCGGCCGAGGCCGGCCTCTCGGCCGGGCGTTTCGTCGAGCTCCTCCGGGCCGGTGACGCCGAGGCCATCGAGGCCCAGGGGCTGCACTTCATCCGGGCGGAGGAGCTGTGCCCGGAGGCCGACCGGCCGGGCTGGCTGCGGCCGGGCCCGGGCCTGGCCCTGCGCGGGCACCTGGCCCCCGGGCCGCTGCCGTGGCGCCGGTGAGGCCGCCATGGTGTCTTTTTGGAATAGACCGGCCTCTTCGGTGTTGGGCCTTTCTATGCGCCGGCGGGGTGCGGGGTGCGGGGGGCCTGGCATGGCGCGGCGATTGTGGGCCCAGTGCGGGGGCCCGTGCGTTGGGACGTATGTGCGTGTGTGTGGCTGGCGGCTTTTTTCACGGTGTGTGTGGCGATCAAATGCGGGCCGGACCGGGCCGCATCGCGGTCCGGGCATCTCCGAATGCGTGCCCTCTCTTCCTTGTCTCCCTCGTTCTCTGCCTCTCTCTCTCTCTCCCCCTCGTTCTCTGCCTCTTTCTCTCCCCCTCGTTCTCTGCCCCTCTCTCTCTCTCTCTCTCTCTCTCTCTCTCTCTCTGTCGCGTGCGCGCGCTCCTGCCCCCACATGCCCCGACGGGTGGTGACTCTGGTGGCCGGGCTGCTGTTGCATGGGCTGCTGGCGGCTGGGCTGCTACTGCAAATGCTGCTGGCGGCTGGGCTGCTGCTGCATGTGCTGCCGGCGGCCGGGCCGGCGGCGGCGGCGGCCCCGAGCCGGCCGGACCCCGGGGCCCGGTGGTTCGAGGAGGAGGTCGTGCCGACGTTTGCGCGGCTGGCCGAGCTGGACCGGCGCCGGGGGTCGGGGGAGCCGCTCGGCCTTGAGGATGTGGCGGTCGGGCTGGCCGCGGCCCTGGCGCCGGGGCCTTCCGGCGGGTCGATCTTCACCGGCCCGGTGGCCGGGCTGCTCGAGCGATCGGCCATGCAGCTGTGGGCCCTGTACGCGCGGCAGGTGGATGCGCTGGCCGGCCGCCCGGCCGTGGTCAGCGAGCATGGGCATGGCCGGGCCACGGGCCGGGGCGCCGCGGGGGCCGTGTGCCGGCCGGCCTGGCCGGGCCCCGAGCCCCAGGTGTGTCGGCTGGCGCCGGCGAACCGGGCGCTGGACACGCCGCCCGGGGCCGCGGACAGCCACACGCACGACGCCCAGTGGGCATCGCGATGGCTGGCCAGCGCGCCGGGGCCCCTGGTCGACATGTACTGGGCCATGTGGGAGTTGCAGGCCCGGCAGCCGGGCCCGGGGTCGTGGAGCGTGCGTCATGGCGGGCCATTGTCTTTCGCCGGGCCATCGGCCGGTCTTCCGGCGGGTGACTGACCTTTCTCTTCTCCGGGGGACGGCAGCGTCACTCGGGGGCGTGGGCCGCCGCGGCCGGGCCGGGGCTCGGTGCCGTGACGCCGGCCCGGTACCGGGGCTTCCTGTCGATGCACTTGGCGCGGTTGCCGCGGTTGCCGCGGGTTTCCCTGGCGGACCTGCTGCGGGGGCTGGGCCGGGAGCGGCCGGCGCCGGGCTTGCATCCGGCCGCCCGGCGGGCCCTGTGCTGCCTTTTCGGGCAGGCGTGCTGCGGGAGCGGGCTCCCGCCGCCGGGGCTGGGCGACCTGCTGGCTGCCTTCCCGCACCTGGCCCGGGCCGACCCCGGGCCGGGGCGGCTGCTCTTCGACGAGCGGCACTACACCGAGGTATGTCCCGGGCGCGTTGGCAGGGCTTGGGCCGGTGCATTCTCCGGGTGGCATGTGTCCTGGCGTGCCTCATGTGTGACTCGTTGTTTTTAATACTGGCCACTGACCGGCGCCCGGTGGGGGGGAGCGTGGCAGCCGTCCTTTGCCTTGCCGCGTGCGGCTCTCGCCGATGGGGGCCTGCTGGCCGAGCGCCTGCTCGGCGCGATGCTGGCCCCGGAGGCCCCGCCCTTCGGCTGGCTCTTTGTCACGACGGCCTTCCTGCCGGCGCTCGGGGATGGTCCGTCGGCCGGGGGTGGTCCGTCGGCCGGGGGTGCTCCGTCGGCCGGGGGTGGTCCGTCGGCCGGGGGTGGTCCGTCGGCCGGGGAGGCCCTGCCCCTGGCCCGGGCCCCGTGCGAGCTTGTGTCGGCGGAGTTCCTGGCCGGCCTGTGCTTCTATCTGGGCGAGCGGGTGGCGGGCCTGCGCGGGCCGGGCCCCGGTGGCCGGGCGGTCGTCCTGCTGGAGCTCGGCGCGGCCGATGGGCGCCTCAGTCACTACCTGTCTTCGGTGCGCGTGCCTCTGTCGCGATGCGCGGGGCGCGGGGCACTTCGCGTGCCTGCTTGGCCTTTTCCCCCTTATTTTGTTCCCTTCCTCACACACATACGGGCTGTGGTTTTGAACATGGGGGTGTGTCCGTGGACATGACCGTAAACACGACTGTGGGTATGACCGTAAACATGACTGTGGGCTTGACTGCGGGCATGGTGGACACGACGGCCGTGAACACACGGGCACGGCGGGCCTGAACACGGGCATAAACACGGATGTGGCCACACACGCACACACGCACACACACCCACATCCACACGCACACGCACACACGCACACACGCACACACGCACACACGCACACACGCACACACGCACACGCACACACGCACACGCACACGCACACACGCACACGCACACACGCACACGCACACGCACACGCACACCCACACACACACACACACACACACACACACACACACACACACCCACACACCCACACATGCGATCTTCTCCACAATGCGCCTCTGGAGACAGTGCCTGCATGGCCCGGACATTCGCATCGTGGCCACCGACCCCCAGCCCGCCGGCCTGGGCACCTTCCCGGTGGAGGTCCTGCCGCTGGACGCCTCGGCGGCCATCGACCTGGTGACCGGGGCCCGGTGGCGCGCGCGGGCCTTCGGCGACGCGCCGACCACCGGGCAGCCCCCGGCGCTGGTTGTCCTGGCAAGCTGGCTGTCGCAGGGGGCCGACTGGATCGAGGCGGCCCGGCGCGGTGGCGCCGACGAATACCTCCTCCTCGGGGAGCGGGACTTCGGAGCCAGCGGCCAGCCCTGGGCCACCTGGGGCGCGCGCGAGGCCGATCCGGCGGTGGCCGCCGCCGCCGCCGCGCCGGCTGACCCCGGCCAGCCGGCCTTCATGCTGGAGGGATACCGGGCGGTGGAGCTGGCAGGCCTGGCCCCGCTGCAGGTGTCCCGGTTCGATGGGTTTGGCCCGGGCCAGGGCGGCGGCCGGTTCCGATCGCGCGTGGTCTCCTTCCGCCGCACGGCCCCTCCGTAGAACCAGAATATAATGCCATTTGGGGCCTCCCTGTTCGGTGGCATGTGCAGGTGCCGTCGCGCGCGCCCACGCGCCGGCGTCGCTGGCCGTCTACTCGGCGGGCCTCCGGGCGCGCGCATGCGGGCCCCGTTGCTGCCTCCACCCGGCCCGGGGCCTGGCATTTGGGGCTAGCGCGGGGCCGGGCGCCGGGTGCCGGGTGCCGGGTGCCGGGCGGGGCGGGCGGACCCCTCCGGGGGGAGCCTGGAGACAGCAGAGCCTGGTCTGTCGTGTGGATGGCGCGTTGTCTTGCGTCACGACCGGCGGGCGGGGGGGCGGGGGGGCGGGGCCGGGGGCGGGGGCGATCTGGCCGGTGGCTGGGCATGTTGCCCGGGCGTGTGGTGGGCGCCGGCCGGGCCCCGCGCAGGACCAGTGACAAGGCGTCGCCGGGGCAACATGCCCAGCCACCGGGCCGGTCCGCTGCCGGGCACACACGGCCAGCCGGGCCCCTCCACCGGCACCGGAACGCGGCGACTCATGGGCCGGCCAGGCGGCGATGCGTGCCGCCGACGGCGCCCCGGGGCAAGCGCCATCCGCAGCCACTCCCTCTCTCTCTCTTGTTCCACCCTCTTCCCCCCCCCCCCTCTTCCTCCCCTTTTTTCTTTTTGGCTGCCGATAGCATCGCTCCCACCCCCCTCCCCTGCCGCA